ATCAAAGGATCGTTACTAGGCATGAATTTCAACAGGACCAGAGAAGCGCACCGTCAGGCCCAGGAACTACTTGTACCCTAACTCCAGGCATCGCCAAGGAGTAAAAGGGGCAGCAACATCCCTGGCTTTGTCTGCTCAGACTGAGTTTGGATCCTAGTTCAGCCTCTACCTTTCTGGACAAACCGCTGAATTTCCCTGAGCCTCACTTTCTTGTAGTGAAATCAGTTCTCTTGAGGACTTGCAGTTAGCATCAGAGGGGCCCCGTGTGCAAGGTTGCCAGCCTAGTGTCTGCTCAGTAACAAGTGCTGCAGATGGGAGCATTGCTTTTGGTGAGGCAGGTGGCCTGGGTTCCAAGTGCTGTTGAGCATTCTCTCCTGGCCCGTGCCAGCTCAGGGCTCCAAGCTTCAGAAGGTTCCATTTGGTCAATATTACCTGGTTCACTTCTGGAGCGAGGATGATCAGTTTGCCTTTGTGCTGCCTGTAAGTTCAAACTTGCCTTCCTCCTAATTTGTGAGTGGGGTGGGGAGATCTGACTATTCAAAGAGCCCTTTCTTCACTTAAATTAAGAATTGCAACTCTGCTCAGTGCTGGGTACCTTTGTGCTGCCCCTCCAGCTTCCACCAGCCACACATCATAGCCTTGAGATGTGCTGTAGGAGTAAATGGATACTTGGATTCTGGATTCTGAAGACTTGGTAAAAAAAAAAATGCAAAATATCCCCTTAATTTTATATAGGGATTATGTGTTTATATAGGGATTATGTGATATTGTTTTGGATCTTTGGGTTAAGTTAAAAATACTTCTTTTTTTTAATATGGCTCCTGGGTCATTTGAACATTTATAATAAAAGCTATAATAATAGATGCTTTGTCATATGGCGAGATGTGACTAAGTGTCAGAGACATAGAAATAAAAGGTGGTTGCTGTCACCTTTGGGAGGGGGGACTCTTGCCTTCATGAGCATCTCTTGATTGCCTATGAATAATGGAATTTTTCTGGGAATATAGTAAAAATGTATGTTATACTTTTATTTATATAATTTATCTGCTGCATGACTACTGTGGGGAAGGTGCTGTGCATGGCATTATGGAGAGGAGAAGGTATTGGTAAGAACAGAAAGTTAATCTTATAACTTAGTGAAAGTGTCAGATAGGTAGCTTATATTCAATAAATTTGGATATTTGTCTGATAAGTGAAAAAGTGCATATGTGGCTCACATTAATATTTCTGTTGAAAGAGTGCTTATAGATATATGTCACCTCATTTCAGTCTCAAGGAAACCATTTGAGGTGGGTGGACTTATTACCATTTTACAGATGAGGAAATGGCTCATCTGGCTAAGAGTGGTTAAACCGCTTTGACTGAAGTCAGACCCAGAGCCACGTTCCTGACGCCAGAGCCTGGCTAATTCCCGTTGACTCCCCTACTGAATAGAACAAATGTGTGAGTCTGACTCCGTGCTGCTCTATCCCAACCCTTTGTGTCAGCAGATTCTGGACTCGGTGGCCTGGGACTTTGTCATGGCTTGCTAGGTTTTTGAGGGTCTTCCTTCTTTAGGTCCCCCAAAATATTGCCCTTATTAGTCTATGAAGGCCACATGCTAGGGAGAAGGCAATTTAATGGCAGATAGATTAGAACTGGAATTCCGGAGCCATGAGGTCTAGGCCTGGCTTTTCTATGTGACCTTAGATAAGCCGTCTAGGGCCTCCTAGGTCTCATGTGCTCTGACGTCAGGATCAGTGTGGCTCCGGGGTCCTGGCTCACAGGTTCACCTGAGCTTGAGGGTCATCTCTTTTCTGAGAGTGTTACTCAAAGGCCCAGAAATTCTGGCTGTGCCACTGAGGTCAAATTATCCAACTACCACAGGAGGAAGCTGGCTCACAGTGACCACTGTGTGTGTGTAGTATGTATTATATATATTTAGATGTCCATATACATATGTGTGTGTGTGTATATATAGCTCATACATATACACACTTCTCTCTATATATAGTGTGTGTATGAGATTTTAGCTAAGTTTTTTTCTATACCTCAAATATTTTTGGAATGTAGAAGGCTTTAAACATTTAATACATTTTTAGAAAGTATTAAAGTAGAAGTGGGGAGCTTTTAAATTACTAACTGCCCATTTTGTTTGTTTTTTTTTTGTAAAAAGTCCATATATATATGTATTTATTTATACATACATATATATATATGTATGTATTTATTTAGGTTCTTCTCTGTTGATAATTTCCTTTTAGGAAAAAAAAGAGACTCAGATGTGCACTATACTAATCAGTATGCCTCATAATAGAGTAGAAAAAGTGTGAATAGTTAGACCAGATGAATTTCAGATCTGGCCTCTGATTCTGTCCCCTTAGGTGTTGAAGGATTGGGATTTGTGGTTGTTTTCTGAGTCTGAATACAGAGCTAGGAGATGGGGTCAGCAATACTCATCACTGAGAGTAGTGTGATCTACGGGCACCTGGGGGGCTCAGTCCGTTAAACACCTGACTCTTAATTCAGCTCAAGTCATGATCTGAGGGTCATTAGATCGAGCCCCACGTCAGGCTCCACACTAGCTTAACATTCTCTGTCTCCCTCTCCCTCTGCCGCCCTCACCGCAGTCTCTCTCTCCCCGACTCTTAAAAAAAAAAAAAAAGAATAGAGCTATTTAGTATGGAGTGGTTACTCTCTCCTGTACTTGACCCACCTCCCCGCCGCCTGTGTGCACACGCATACAAGAGCACACACACGCACAGACCCACACAAGCATGCCTATGCACAGGTATACATACCGCACAGACCCACACAAACATGCCTATGCACAGGTGTACATACACACCCCAAACATGTAAAAGGCAAGCACAGTGGCATCCATTTGGTCAACCCATATGGGTCAGACCCACATTGAGAAGGAAATGAAATTTGACTGAAACATACTAAAGCATTCAATTGAGTAAGGGAAAGTTCCATTAAATTGAGCTCATTCAATCGTAGAAAACTTTGGACCACATCTTAATCAGTCATCCCATCCTTCTTTTTTTCCCTAAATAGTTATGACAGCTGATCTTGCAAGTCCCTTCTCCAGTTCTGTGATTCTCTAAAATTGCCCAGTTTTTAATTGCTTTTTTAAGTTAAGACATTTTAATATACATTTTTCAAAGCAGCTAATACAGTTGATATCTGAGGGAGGTAGTGCAATTGGTTTGATGATAAAAAATGGAAGACCATAAAAATTCTCCGTTTATACATTCTAAATAGACAAGTTTTAAACTAATAAAGTGAATTTTAAACATGGCATAAGGAAGACGATGGGCCCTTTTGATGGAGAACATTTTTACTGGCTCTCTAAAGCCCACAGTCCCCAAGGCAGGCTGGTCACTCACCCTTCCCTAACTGTGTTAGGACAGATTACTTACAAGAACTTCCAATGCCCTCTTCCTGGGAGACGGTCAAATACCTCTTAATGATGGTAGTTTATCAGTTCCCTGAAACATGGATGTGACTCCTCTGTCCTTGGGAAGCCCCTGCCATCTGGCCCAGAAGTGGCTGTGTCCTTGTGGGACTTCAATGCCAAAATGTTATAAAGTTCAGCTAGATAAAGAGGAGAAGTTATAAAGGAGGCAGTTTGTGGAAAGAGCCCTGCGTTCAGCGTTCTGAATTTGGGCTCTGAATTTTGAAGTGGACTAAATTCTTGGGTCCTTGGGCAAGATTCCTATCTATACCTGTCCCGTTTGCTACCTTGCACTGTAGGCTCACGGTGCCAGTCGACTGAGCAGACTGCAGAACCACTTCATGAGCGGTACAACTTTGCACACTGGAAAGAGTTTTGCTTTTTCCAGCCACCTCCCCGTTTACCCCTCTAGGCTCACTTCAAACACTTTCTCTACCTTGAAGCCATCCCAAGTTGTTCCAGGAGAAATGAGTGAACACATGTCCTCATATTACCCTGCCTAAACTATAATCAGAGCATATATGGCACTGAAGCCTGCAGTCAGGTGATATCAATTAACCTTGGCCACATTTATTCTGCAATACCAACCGCCCCAAAATTCAAAGGCTTATAGCCACAATGGTGGATTCTCACTCACGAGCCAGGATGGCTGTGTTGCACACAATGGGCTTGCATGTGGCTCTGCTGTCCATGTCTCTCACCTTCCTTTGGAACCCAGTGGCTGGCCGGGGCACGTTCTGCTCACAGTCATGGCAGAAGCGCAAGAGGGCAAGTGCAAACACACAGAGCTTCTCGAGACCGAGACTGGGGAATGGCATCTTGTCATTTCCACTCACAAGCCATTGGCCAAACCCAAATGAAATCGCTGGGGAGCACACTCACCCCACGGTGAGGCCATACCAAGAATTGGATGCAGGGAGGAGTAAAGAATGGGAGCTAATTATTCAGTCTTTCCTACAGGTTCACCTGCCCTATTAGATCAGGAGCCCCCAGTGGGTGGCTGGGGACAGGAACAACGTCTGCTTCTATATCAACAGCCCTTCTGCCTGGGACTGGCAGGTAGTAGATAGTTCAGTGATGTTTGCTGAGGTCCAAAAGACCTTTCCCACCCTTTCCTTTACAGCAGAGATTGGCACACTCTGACCATCAGGCCAAATCTGTCCATGATTTTGTGCACACAGAGAGCTGAACATATGAATTATTGAAAAAAATCAAAAGAAAATCATATTTAATGATGCATGAACATTATATGAAATTCAGATTTCAGTATCCATAAGTAAAGTTTTATTGGAACACAACCACACCCATTCCTCTGGGTACTGTCTGTGGCCACCTGAGCAAAACAGCATACTTCGAGTTGCCATAGAGACTGTGTCCTGCAAAACCTAAAACATTTCCTATCTGGCCCTGTACAAAAAGTGTTTGCCACTCCCTGCACGATAGGATAAAGAAACGGAGAGAGCCCCAGGGAGGTGACTGCCGTACCCAAGACTACAGAGTTGTCAGCTCCAGTAAGCCCTGTATGTATATGGGGTTAATATCTTTCCCCTTTATTTCCTAGTAATTGGCGGCCTGCGACACCCATGTGTCACTGATTAGGAGGCATTCCCCGAGGCAGCGCTTCATGACCCAGCGGCGCCGGGCCCAGTGAAGCCACCATGGTGTCCAGCACGGCCGCGCTGCTCCTGGGCGCGGTGCTGCTGGTGGCCCAGCTCCAGCTAGTGCCTTCCCGCCCTGCAGCGCCCGGGGACGCGCCGGGCCAGCCGGAGCTCGCGCGCAGAGCAGCCACCCTCCAGGGTGAGGGCCGAGAAGGCGCGGCTCCCAACGGCTCGGCCCAGCAGCTGCCGCAGACCATCATCATCGGCGTGCGCAAGGGCGGCACGCGCGCGCTGCTGGAGATGCTCAGCCTGCACCCCGACGTGGCGGCCGCTGAGAACGAGGTCCACTTCTTCGACTGGGAGGAGCACTACAGCCAAGGCCTGGGCTGGTACCTGGGCCAGATGCCCTTCTCGTCCCCGCGCCAGCTCACGGTGGAGAAGACCCCCGCGTACTTCACGTCGCCCAAAGTGCCTGAGCGTGTCCACAGCATGAACCCGGGCATCCGGCTGCTGCTCATCCTGCGGGACCCGTCCGAGCGCGTGCTGTCCGACTACACCCAAGTGTTCTACAACCACGTGCAGAAGCGCAAGCCCTATCCGTCCATCGAGGAGTTCCTGGTGCGCGACGGCCGGCTCAACGTGGGCTACAAGGCGCTCAACCGCAGCCTCTACCACGTGCACTTGCAGAACTGGCTGCGCTTCTTCCCGCTGCGCCGCATCCACATCGTCGACGGCGACCGCCTCATCAGGGACCCTTTCCCCGAGATCCAGAAGGTCGAGCAGTTCCTGAAGCTGTCCCCACAGATCAACGCCTCGAACTTCTACTTTAACAAAACCAAGGGCTTTTACTGCCTGCGGGACGGCGGACGGGACCGCTGTTTGCACGAGTCCAAAGGCCGGGCGCACCCCCAAGTTGACCCCAGACTCCTCAGTAAACTGCACGAATATTTTCACGAGCCAAATAAGAAATTCTTCGAGCTTGTGGGCAGGACATTTGACTGGCACTGATTTGCAATAACCTAGGCTCGGAACCTTTCCTATTGTAAGTTCTGGTGTACATCGGGGGAGGAAAAAAAAAATTTTAAAAGGGCATTTAAGCTATAATTTATTTGTAAAATCCATAAATTACTTCTGTACAGTATTAGATTCACAATTGCCATATATACTAGTTATATTTTTCTACTTGGTAAATTGAGGGCATTTTGTATTGTTTTTCATGGTTGTTAACATTGTGTAATATGTCTCTATATGAAGGAACTAAAATATTTCACTGCAAAAAAAACAAAAAAAGTCCTGGAGACCCTGTCTTTTTTGAATATAATTAACATGCCCCAGACTCAAAATAGCTGTCTGTGTTGTACTCATTGCAGAATCTATATTCCTTTGTTACTTTAAAAAGAAATGTTTTTCATGGCTATTATGCTTCTCTCTCGCCCTCTCCTTTCTTCATTGTTCATTTTAATTTTTAATGTCTCTCTGTGGTCATCAGATTTATTTTTTTACTTGCATTGTGAGATTTGTCTTCACTGAGATCCCCTATTATTCTGGAGTGGCAGGTTCACCCACTCCCGATTTCAGCAGGTCCCTGAGCGTGGATTTTAACCCCCTGTTAACTCAGAGTGGACAAAGCAATATTGAGACTGGAAAAGTAGTTAATACTAGCAAAAGCTCCCTTGCCACACATCTTTGCCTCGAAGAGTGCTTGCATACATTTCTGATCTTAGCAATGGGCAAAACCTACAGTAAAGGGGATGAAACTACTGGCCTTCAGAATGGTCTCGGGGCTGTGTACTTTGCCCCAGGTGGCAACGGGTCTCTGGAAACCCACTTAGAAAAGAGAAGTTGCAAACTGTATGTGTTCCTATCTTACAGAGTTTGTGGAAAGCCGACTCATGGTATAGACAGACTTTTGCTTAGGTTGGGAGTCTTTATCTATTTCCTGAAAGATCGATATGCATTTATAGACACATATTCCATATACATTGAGACATAAATATGTGTGTGTTTTAAAATTAACTCTGAATGTGTAATCCTGAAATGGAAAGGAAATTTGAACTCCCAGGGGTCAAAATGGCAAAAAGAAAACACAAAGCGGAAGTAGAGCCTAAGGCAACCCTTGTACCTGCACCTAAGGGAGAGAGACCTGATTTCAGTTTCACTTCTACTGCTGAACAGCTATCTTGTTGGAGGTGGTCATGCAAGCCCCCTGAGTCTTGGTTTTCTCAGGCATTCTTATTCAGTCAGCCTTTTACAGAATTAAATACACTGGATATGTTTTCTTATTATGACAGCAAAACACAATCATTATGTAAAACAAAAAAAAGAAATACAAAGAAGCAAAATAAACCCGTTTCCTGACAGTTTATATTTAATGCAGCGAAGTAAAATGGACATTATATATAAGAACTCATTGAAAATGCCCCCAAACAACCCCAGGAAGTAGTAATTATTATGGCGAGTTCAAGGAGGAAGAAATAAGCATGGAGGAGATAAGGAACTTGCCAAGGTCACACGGACTCCAAGCCAAGGCTGGGAGTCCACTTAGAGCCAAAGCACAGATTTGCGGTGTTTTGGTTTTGATCCTGCCCTACTCTTTCTGAACTCAAAAGGAAAGGCCCAGACTCAGAAACAGTATTTCCTGACTTAACCTGACAGATTCCTTCCCTGGTGCCAAACGTCTTCCACCTCAAGAGGTGTGTCTGAGCAAAAGGAGAGGGGCAAGAAAGAGCCTGCACTTTTCTCAGCAGTGCTATCAGGGAAGTGAGTCACCTTGGTTAGGGGCAGCAGCTGCAGCCTGGCCTGACCTTGGTGTGGCCCAGGCCACACCCCTGGCCCTGCAAACACGGCAGGAAGAACACCTTCCCCCTCCGAACACATTAAGGTTGTCACTACACAACCAACTCCCCAGAGGGTGTGACCAAAATATTTATAGCAGGCTTCCCGTTGACATGGCACTTTGCAACCTGGAAAGTGCTTCCCTCCACAGAACACCGTTAGACCTTGCTTCATCACACTCATTAAGAGCTGAAGAGAAGAGAGGCCCGGAGAGGTTAAAGTGAGTTTCCAGGATTGCCCAGGAATTTGGTGTGGAGACTCCAGTGTGAGTCTTCCGAATTTCCAAAGAAAATTTTTTTGCAAAATACCCATGGATGCCTGTGCCCTAATGGGGATGCTATGCTTGAAGCATGCAGTGTTGGCGTCAGAGGTGGTGGGCAGGGATGGAGGAAGGAAGGACCGAGCACTGGGGACATGACCTAGTGGCTGGGGCTAGCACAGTTCCTGGTAGGAGTGGTCCAGTGTAAAATGATAAGTTGGTATAAATTAAGTAATTGTTGATTTGGGATGTGGGGTCTTGACTGAGGATGTGTTCATGGAGGTCTACATGGGTCAGGGGTCCTAGTGGTTCTCTGTTACTCCATTTATGGCAAAAGTCCAGCCAGTCCTTAGGAAAATACAAGGAGTACTTGTACTCCAGTAGCCCAGGCATTTCAATCTCATCTGTGCACTCCCAGATTCAGAGGAGGCCCTACAGGGGACCTGGGCCTGCCTTCCTAGGGGCACAAATGCAGTGACTTGGGAGCCAGATGGGCACCTGATCTCTCTCCAAACACCATATCAATTCTATTAACAGAGAGATGCCAACTAGAGGGAGTGAAGTTCCTGTCCCAATTGGGCCAGGAGCAGGGGTGGCCCGGGAGCCTCCAGGTGGGATGTTCCAGAGAGGCAGCTGGGAGCAGCTGAGAACAGAGCCTCAGCTATTGTGTTTGGAACATTCACGGCACTTGATGTTTCTGAGTCGAGACAACCCCTGCCTGCTCCCTTCCCCCAGGAATCAGGTAGTGCTGAAATCCCATTGACAGTATTTAGTTATCAGCTCACAGCCTAAAAATGTGAGCACCTCTGAGCACAGGGTGGATTGCTCTTTCAATCCTGGGAGACTGTTACTTAGCTGAAGGGAGATACAGGGCAGAAGAGTCCAACGTGCAGGGTGACTGCTACTTAAAGAGGTAGAATCTGAGATCACCACTGAGAGTTCAGGTGTTCACTATAATTTCATTTTTCAGTTGAGCCCTACTATATGCTTAGCATGGTGTTAAACGCTTAGGAGTGTAGAAGAAAACACAGTAGGAGCTAATAATCACTAACTCTCCTGGGTTTAAATAAAAAACATGGAGGGACCACGAAGATAAGGGGATGACGCTTAACTGTGCTTGGACTGGCCAGGGCAGTATGTTCTGTACTTTGTCGTGTCATCTGGGAACGTCCCTGGGAGGAGTCCGCTAGCCCCACGATGGAGAGAAGGAAACGGAGATGGAAGAAATGGGCCTGCCCTCATTGTTCGAGAAGAAATAGAGAGATTATCACTTGGTCCAGGGGGATAGTCGTCCCCAGGATGGGGAATGTGGCACTGAGAGTCATCAAAAGAAGGTGAGAGATGGCAGAGGTGTCTCTCCAAATGCCACTATTCAGGAGTAGGAAGAGAAGAAGGGTCTTCCCAAAGGGCATGATCACTTAAGTCCCGGGTCACAGGACCCTGTTCTTTCCACAGAAAAGCTTCTTGGAGGAATTGCCATGATGCTGGAGAATGGAAGCCAAAGGATGTAACCAAAGCAGGGCATTCTGGACAAGGGCAGCTTGAGGAATCAAGACAGTGGTGATGGGGAGGGGAAAGGAGGAAGGGGATGTGGGCAACAGACTTGAAAACACATTGAGAACTCGCTATGGGACAGACACTTGTGGCCTTGGCATCTGCTTTCCAAGTGGTGGAAGCTTTCTTAGAAAGCACCTGTGTATCTCTGTCTCCTGTGCAGGTGTATCTGTCACAGAAAATAACTATCCTTTATTGCACACCCACTATATGCTTAGTGTTTTAAATATGTTGCTTCCAATCCACGTGACAATTCTGAGAGGTAGGAAATGCCATGGTGCTGATTTGACAGAGGAGGAAACTCAAACTCAGACCATAAAGGGCTTGCCCAGGATGCCGGAGACAGTGATCTGTTACAGCTGGAACTAGTCCCCAGTGTCCTTGCTCTGCTACTTTGTGGTCCCTGCAATCCTGAGTGAGGGGAGGGAGAAGTAAAGCGTAAACGTTTATTACGCAGAGCAGAGTGTGCAGAGAAATATGGGCACACAGGATGTGAGGATGCAAAGACAGGGTTATACCAGACGGTCTTCAAGCGAAAGAGTGGCTCGGGACTTGATATAACAGACACACGATAAAGCAGGCTCCTTCCTGGCAGACCTTCATTCAGGAAGTCTGCATTTGAGTTGGCACGGAGCAACATGGCGGAACTCTCCAAATGGCAAACAAGGAGTGAGGACCAGAGCTACACGCACTTCAGCAGAACTTTGAGCTGCTTGGCTGAAATATGTAGATGTAGGAAATGGCTTTGGTTCTTCAATTCATGCTCATATCAATATCTTTACTCCTTTTCCTCCAAATTCCCCTGTTAGGTCACCTGAGAGAAAAAGCATTTAGAGCCAGGAGCCCCGGGTGTGTATTCCAACTTTGCTAGTTTTTGGCCATGTGGCCTTGGGTTCAAATTCTCAGAACCTCAATATCTTTCTCAATGTAAGTGGGTTGATATTTACTTAATTCTGTTTTGGGGGGAATTCAATGAGATAAAGTAGGTAAAACACTATGGGGGATATGGCGTAGTGGTTAAAAGCATTTAGGATTTTAGGAAACAAACCAAAACTGGTTTTGAACCAGTCTGCAGGCACCGACTGCCTTGGCCTCCCTATCCTCTTCCAGCTATGGGACTGTAGCCACTGCTGTTAGCACCCCATCCAGATCCCATTACTAGGAAGTATCCCACCTCCAGCTACCAAAAGAGTTGGTTGCTCAGGGCTCACCCTGTACTGCTTTCTGGAGGATTTCCCTGAGTTGAAGGAGTTGCTTTACCCGGAGGTGCCTGGGGAGTTAAACTCACTCAGCTTCTTTGCTTTCTTGGGGGTTGCCTGTGACTAATGACTGACAGATGTGGGGAAGCAGTAGGGTTGAGGGAGCCTCTTGTTTCTGGGGCAGAACGACCTCTGTGGTACAATTCATGCTCAAGAACACCTTGCAGTCGGCACCAGACTTCTCCTGAAACCACACTATGCTTAGCTTCTTTCCCTACTTTGTCCTGTGTCCTTCGTTGCCTTACCCATTTCTTTCGTAATCCCATTCTCGGTAGGTGACTTGCTCAAGAATACAGGGATCCCCATCCTAGGCTTTGCTTCTAGGGCATCCAATCTAAAATAGTCAACTTGCAGAAATGTTTTAG